AAATTATAATAAAAATTTGAATTAGAGAACTATTAAATAGTTAATTTGATGTTAATATCGATTTTATTTTTTTAAATTTTTTTATGATATCTTCAAATTTATATTTTATTCAAAAATAAAAACATTATTGTTTTCTCAAAACCACATAAAATCATATTATATCAATAAAGACAATGAATAAAAACTAAACATTAAAATGGATATTTATCTCGTTGCATTGTGTGAATACTCTTCTAATAAAATAATAATATCTAACAAATTCTATATAAAATATTAATTTCCAAAATCTTTATATAAAATAATAAGTTACAACAGATGTTACATATATATAATGGTAATTTCTAACAAACTTTATTGAATATTTGTTTATAAAATAATAATTTTTAATAAATATTTTATAAAATAGTATTTTCCAACCAGCTTTTTAAATATATTTTTTTGGTAACAAATAATAGAAAATTTATTTCTCTTTCTTCATCATTACGTTTTAAACAATCCTTCGAATTTTAAAGAAAACTTTAAAAAAAATCTAAATAAAATAAAAATAATTAAAATCTTTATTTTCTCCATATTAAAGAATATGTAAGAAAAGGTATATCGCGAGTTAACCAATAACGTTAATGCGGCTACATTACATCGTGTCATTTTTACAGAATCATAATATAAATGATATAAAACATTTATAAATCCTGAGCATTTTTGTATATATTTTTGTTTCTAAATTTGATTATTTTTAATGAACATAAACCTTAAACTGTTACTTATTTTCAAAATTCTACAATTTTAAACGTGATTTATGAAGTATATGCATGAAAAAATCTAAAAAAAACTCAATATACATTATAAGCCACGAGATACTAAGAGCAAGAAAGAAGGATAGGGGAAGCTGTGCCCAGGCGGAAATGGGCGGACACAAGAGGCGATCGCAGCCGTGAAATGGAGCCAACTGTTTCCATGCCAACTCTTTTCTTTAACTAAATAGAAGTTACTTCATAATTACTTTTTACCATAATAATCAGTTTTCTATGATTTATTTGAACTGTTTTCGATCATTTTTTAAGTCAAATTGACCATTTTGTTATATTTCTATAACAATGTATTGATTTATTTGTTCAAACAAATGCCAATAAACGGGTTTTTAACGGTTTAATTCTTTTTACAATGATAACGGGTTTTCGGTCAGTTTTATAGGCCAAAAGAACTATTTTGTTCAATTTCATTAAGTGAGCGGATTTATTTGTTAAATTTTTTATTGACTCGATCATTTTAAATATGAATGTTCGGATGAGTCTTTTCAAATCTCCTCCTATAATATTACAAATTTAAGTTGTTTTAGTCCGGAAAAAAATTTAAACTCTTATCTCTACATTTCTTTAATTTTATTTATCTGATCTTTTGTATTAGTATTTCACTTGTTATCGACATAAAACTAGTCGCTAACAAATGGTTGATCTCTCATAAAAATTTACGAATATGATATCCCACGTTGTTGAGTTTAATTTCGTATTATGGATATATATAACTCATCTTTAAACATTCTAAATTCAAGTTAGCCGTATTCAATATCTCTAGTCTCTCTTTGTTAACACAATTGTATAATTGTTTTGTTTAAAATATATAATCGGTTACATATGTCTACTAATGGTCTTTTGATGGATAAGTTGAATGTAAATTTAATGTATGAATCAACATTTTTTTTAGAAACAACAACTTTATTAAAGGACCACTGAAGGCTAGCAAGAGACTAGCATTTACAACAAAGCCGATAAGGGGCTGATACACCAACCATTCCAATCAAGATTATTACAAGACTTCGATCTAATTCTAAGCCAGTTATACGAAAAAATGCACGATCTCCTTGGAAATCACCACCGGGCTTTTAGGAGGTTTGTTGAAAACCAGCGCATTGCGATTCGTCCATAACACCCAAATGAACGCCATGAGAATTACTTCCAACGTCTCCTTCACCCTTTTTCCCTTTGAATGGAAATTGCGCCGCAGAAAAAAACTCCGCCAAGTTGGTAGCATGATAAGGAAAACCCGACCATCAATTATTTACATAAGCACCGATTTCCTTTGTAGACGAACAGTCGAACAAGAGATGAGCTTCCGTTTCTGGCTGACTTAGGCAACAAGGACATAGAATCGAACTCATCCGGACACCTCTTATGGATAGATTACATCTAGTTGGGAGTCTTGATTTCGAAAGATGCCAGATAAGCATATTCACTTTGTCGGGCACTAATTTATTCCACATCGTTATCCTTCCGTCGGATTGTAAAACACCTTCCTCAATCTTACCCCGGCACGTCTTGACCGAGAATATACCGTCCTCGAAAAGGTTCCATCTCCGATCGCCATTCATATCTACCGACCAAAAGCTGTTAACATGAAGTCCAACTTTACGGATGAGAGTATGAATCAACATTAAGTGAATGTATGATGAAGTTTTAGTTACATTTAAAGTAACAAGATATATAATCAAGAACTGAACTCTCATGTCAGTTACGCAATCTTTCGATATAAATGTGGTATGTTTAGACATAATTTTGATATGTTTTGTAAAATTCCTCTTATTTTATTTGTTGCTATATATTACACAGTGTTTTAAACATTTATGTCAATACTTTAACTTGCTTTATCCAAGCGTTTACACGGTAAACGTTTATCGGTAAAAAGTCAATACTTTAACTTACTTTATCAAGTAAGATTCTTGTCTATCAAAACAGTATTGTGTACTTACAAGTAAGAGTCCTTACCCTCAAAACCGTGAAAGACACTTCATCCTTATCATTACTCTTACCAGGTAAAATTATTGACCCTTATCATGTTCATTCGGTAAGGTAAATGACCTGATAAGTACTTACTGGGAAAGCCTTTAATAAACGACTCCTAAGTCTCTCTTTGTTGATTTAGTTCGATATATCGTCTGTTTTACATCGAGTTTATGTACAAGTAAATATTACCTTTAACGGATTTATTTATCACCAAATCCTAAATAAAACCGGCACACACGAATTCATGTACATGTTAGGTTCATCCGTACTTAATGCTTAAAAGTAAACACGTAAATGTAAAAACATAGATAAAATTATTTGCAACGCGATATATTATATATTCAACTGCATGTAATAAATTTTGAATGCTTACATGTTTGGATTTGAAAAGAAATTAAAACTATTAAATAACATATAAGTTATGGATCTCGAAACGTGCTAACGACTTCAAGATCTCATGGTCTGAATGGTTGGCCACGGCTTCGGTGTCTAATCCTTCTTCGTGTTTTGCAACTCTGCCCCTTTCGGCTGCAGGTTCTGTGTCTTTGGGGATCGGTTTTCTTCTGGGTTTCGTCTGATCATCTCAGTTTGGGTGTTAGGGTTCTTGTCGTTATTTGTTATCGGGTTTTGTAGTGGGCTATGTTTTGACGGCTTATTCGATGTCGGGTGGTTATTTTTGGGGCCTCCAATCTTGTTTTGGTTGGTGTGTGAGTTGTTTGCTTCTTGTTGTTTCTCTCTTATAAGATACATATGGAAAATATCCCAATTACTTTCATGGCTCTTTTCAATCATCCAAAACCCTCATATATAAATATTTATTATATTAAAATATTTGGTTCAATAATTTAATTAAATAATTAATTTTAAAAATAAATAAATAAATAAAGGTATAAAAGGTAATTTAGTTATATAATAATTATTTAAAGTATTTATTTAAAATTCTACTTTTACCCATATTTATGATTTTAATGACTTGATTTTTTATTTAAAAATATTTTATATTTTATACATTTAGAATAAACGTATGCAGTTTTTATTTAAAGATTTCATTTTTTATTTAAAACAATATTTTAAAAATTACAATTTTGGTCAAAATTATATGTGATTTAAATTTTAAAAATGTGATTCAAATTAAACATTGAAAAAGAAAAATAATGAAAAAAAAAAACTTAATCGCATATAAAGTGTAGCAAAACACATTTAAAATGTGTAAGATGGCATGTGTTCAAAAACTGATTTATAATTCACACATTTCATACGGAAATTAACAATTATTTTTTAGAGGGAAAAGCGTTGATTAATTGTGGATATCACATGTGATTTTTGATGAAAATCGTAAAAATTCCTAAATAAACTACTTCAATAAAAATAAATATTTTAAATGAAAAACTAAATCACACTTCTTTTAAAAGTTGTAAAAACAATAAATAAAAAATAATCATGCTTAATTCACAAAAATTTAAAAAAATATCATAAGAAAAAATATCTTAATTAAATTTATTGAATAATCTTTATACAAAAATAAATGAATTTCCATTTATTATTTGTATACAACAAATGACATATATGTCCTAAATGATTTTTAAGAATTTTTTTTATTTAATGAAATGGTTGACCTAAAATTATTCTCTTACTCTTGTAAGGGCAAATTGCATTAAAAAATAATGTACTTTAACTTTATTCCTATTTTGGGTAATGTACTTTTAAAACTTTTATTTTGGTACATAAGATGTAAAGTTTTAAACATTTAAGTACTCGGGTAATCGGTTACCATGCTAATGTAACGAGTGATGTGTTATCCAACTCAATATTATTTGTTATTCAACCCAATTAATCTCATCACTCACCACATCAGCATGGTAACCGGTTACCCGAGTACTTAAATGTTTAAAACTTTACATATTAGATACAAAAATGGAAGTTTTAAAAATGTGTTACCTAAATTTGAAATAAAATTAAAGTACGTTACTTTTTCATACAGTTTATCCTTCTTTTAAATAAATATTATTCTCATTTGATTCTCCCACTTATTATATATGTATTATAAAATAAATTATATATCACATGATATTATCAAATATAATTATATATTATAATAATATAATACCCTTAACAGCCGATTCTTGTGGCCTCCAAAACCCTAGAAGCACAAAATCTAAGTCTATAAATAGGTTCATAACTTGCCTTTGTTCAACACATCTCTCATTCACCTCCGACCTCCCTATGGAGGAGGAACATATTCGCTGGCACCATCCGCCTTTCATGCCCGCAACCTCCTTCTATCGGTCGTTGTGAGATTTCTTTCCTTCTATCACTAGATCGATCGATTTCTTGTTTTCATCAGATCAAACTACACTCTTTTTGTTAATATGATTCTTATAAATGGTTTCTTCTTTAGAGTCATGGTGTTGGCACGTCCTATAAGTTCGCGCGTCCAAGTTGTATCATCACTTCGTCAATGTTCATTGCATTTCAGGTATAATCGGATCGGTTATCAATCTATTAATTATTACACTTGTTTTGCTCGGATGTTGAATTTCAGCTTTTATCCTTTGGTTTATGACAGAATACCGATGGGTCCTTCACTGCACATCCATCGATGGCAATATATGAGCCGGTTCTTTTGGGTTAGGATGGGTCCTAAATAATCCATCTTTTACAAAAAGTAATTATATAATTTATGTATGAAGCCAACGAAAGTCGAAACTGCAAATCCGATCCTTCAAATGATGAAGGAGGTGGCTTTGAAGACGACTAAAATTAACACAACAAGTTCGTTTTGGCGTTCGGCTGTAGCCAAGAAATAGATCAAGAGCCCCAACAAAGAGAACGACTAGTTTGACACAAAGAATATATTGGTGGCAACAGCGGAGACGGAGGTCGTTAGAACAAAACTCAAACCACAAGGATGCTTTCTAGACTTGTTAGAGGTTGTGTCTCACTTTCAGAGATTTCACTAGAGACCTTAAAGGACGAAATTGAAGTTTACTCTTTTAAGAAAGTTGTTATGTAGTTATCAAGGGTTATGTAATAACATCGATCATTGTTCATTGTATTTCATAAAGATGGAAGATTATCTAATTCAAAATTTATATATGCGTCCCTTTTTTCGCTTTTAAATTCTTGAACGAGTTGATGATGTTGTTCCATACACGATTCGTTTGAGATGCGGTTTAGACAACCATCCTCAAAAAAATTGGATTGCTTATTAAGTTTAATAAACGTAAAATGGTAATGAAAAAAATGGACATACGTACCCAATAAAAACGTTAATAAGTTGATGAGTTTTTTTTAATCCATCGCAAAATATCAATAAACGGTATAAAAATTGTAAAAATTTCTTACGGTTTCTCAAAAATTGAGATAAATAAAGCTTTTGGGTTGTTTTAATTTTTAATTAAACAGTTCCTCCAAAATTTTCATAAATTGGGTATACTTTGCAAATACTTTAAGAGCATCCATTTTAAAATATAGTATTAAAAGTTAAAATCTTTACAAAAATTACCTTCAATTTCAACAAAATCTTTAAAAATTCTGACATTAATTATATTATTAAAATACATTTAATACCTCAATAAACTCCTCCAACAAACTTTATATAAAATACTAATTTCTAACAAACTTTTTTTAATTTTAATATCCAATAAAAAAATTTACAAAATTGTATTTTCCAACAAACTATTTAAATATACAAATTCAGGAGTGTTTGGGATTGATTATAAAAAATAACTTATTGACTTATTTCGGTGTGACACCAGTAATAAGCATTTATGAGTGTTTGGATAAATAGCTTATATCGGTGTCAAACCGGTAATAAAAAGTTTTTGAAGAATTTAAATCATTCTAACTTATAATAAATTGATAATAACTTTTGTAGAAAAACATAAATTAATAAGAGTCGTCGCCCTCGCTTACCAGGTAAGATTAATGGTCTTTATCTCGTTTTTACCGGGTAAAATTTTTGGTCCTTACCATATTTTTTTGATAAAGTAACAGGACTTGGTAAATACTTACCCAGGTAAATATTTGATAAACGGGAACAAATCTTTTTGTCATAACAAATTGCCTAACTTTTTCTTTAAACTGATGAAGCACATGTCAAAATCTCTAAATTTGGACAACTTTTTCAAGTTTAATATTGGAAAGAGAAATTGTTAGCACCAAACAAATTGAATATATTATTATTTTTTAGAAAACTATATGAAAATTTATTAAAATATTAATAATTATTAAATATTTTAATAATATAAATAATGTTAGAAATTATAAATTAAAAAATTCGATAGAATTAAATGCAATTATTTTAAAGATTTAGCTTTTTGAAATAAACTTTATACTATAAATATACTTATATCATGAAAAGATATTATATATTATATATTTAGGGGCCGTTTACCAAACGCTTATTTGGGTAAGCATTTATGAAGTCACATTACCTCACCGGATGAATATGGTAAAGACTCAGAATCTTACCCAGTAAGAGCGAGACAAGGACCAAGAGTCTTACCCGGTAAGTGAGAGTGACGACTCTTACCACGGTAAGCATTTACCAGGTAAATTGTTGCATGCGATGTTGTTTTGGTGGAATAAAATCTTACCCAGTAAGTAAATAATAGTGTTAAATTTTATTACTATACACGTTAAAGAAACTAGAAATGGAAAGATTAAAAAGACTTTTGTTTTGAACTGTAAGGTCAGCCTGTGTATATCTAGGAAAACGAAGAGAGATTTACGAAAAACTAAGTAAATTTGATAATGACCATCAATCGTATTTTCCTTTAGGTAATCGTTATACTTGCCGACTAATCCCAGGGCGACCACCTGCTTTGCAGATAGCCGGGAGTCACCGCATTTGAACCTCCGTGGTCATAAGGGGATTTTTATTCCTCCTTGGATTTGAACCTGAGACCTCCTGGTACTTTTGACCTTTGGAGCCAAGTTCAAACCAATCAGACACCACCCTTGTAGTTATAGTTGAAATAATAGTATTGTCATTTGTTATCAAGAACTAAAATTGAATTATGTTGGATCATGATCCGAAAGACGCATAAACTAATTAACGATCAATGGAAGGCAACATTGATTATGGTTAAGAGGCCCTTTACCCAAATGCTTACCCGGTAAGTGTTTAACGTTAGGAGTCAACACTATAATTTATTTTATTGGGTAAGATTGTAGTACATCAAAATTATCATATACAACAATTTACCTGGTAAGTGCTTACCCGGGTAAGAGTTGTCACCCTCACTTACCGGATAAGACTCTTCATCCTTATCATCGCTCTTACCGGGTAAGATTCTTGGCCGTTGCCATGTCATCCGGTGAGGAAAATTACGCAGTAAACACTTACCGGGTAAGCGTTTAATAAACGGCCCCTAAGATTAGAGATGCCTCAGTTTTCCTAGACATTAAGTTGTTTTTTATCAATACATAACTTCAAGATGGTTATATATGGCTAAAGATGAAATCGCTAACTAGGAGGGTTGAAATTGGGTTAGCATAACTCAATCCAACCCAAACGGTCAACTTGCCACTAATATGTATTATTTTTATAAAATTATTTGTATATATATATATATATATATATATATATATGATATTTACATAATTATAATTTACAGTCCAAAAATATGTATATTTTTTAGTCTAATGTACAACCCAAAAATTAAATACATGTATCATTTGTCCAATTTATAGCCCGAATTTAATCCAACTATTGTCTAGGTCAAGTTCAATAGGATCAATACTCCAATTCAATTCACTGATTCAGTTCTCGACTTCACGTTCTCCTATCGTCTACTCGTCTAGCATCCCCAAATCTACAAATTGTGATTGTCGAGTGCCGACCGAACTATGGTTGTTGGCTTACTGCCGACTGGACTTCTCTCCTTCTCGTCCCCAATTCGTACTCCCAATTCTGCTTCTCGAGTTCCCGAATCCTTTTTTGCTTGCTATGGCCTACAGGACTGTAGTTGCTTACTTGCTACGGGATTGTGGTTGTTGTGAGTCTGTGAGTAAATCGTTTTCTGTTTGCTACAGGTATGGCTTCCATCACTCGTTTTCAACTAGTTTCTGCTTGACTGCTTGTTTTCTGCTACTTCAAAACAACATTTTATTGAATAAAAACTCCTTGAAACTCACTTGTCTATCAGATTGTTGGAGCAATGGAAAATATACCTAAACCTCCAAAAATCGAAGACAATGATGAACCAAACTCGTCTAAGAAAAGAGGTTGTAGAACTTCAAACGTTTGAGATCACTTTTCAAAAAAGGACTTTAGATGTGTCTGATTATTGTGGAAAAGACTATGTTTGCCATAGCAAGAAAAATTGGCACAAATTCTCTGTGCAATCACTTAAGAGACCAATGTAAGAAGTATTTGGATAGCATTAGCGATAAAAAAAACAAAAATTGTTTAGTTTTCCTACTATCAATGAAAATGAGGTGTCATTTAATAAAGAGAGATGTCGCAAAGCCGTGGCTAGGTTTGTGCTTAAGGATAAACAACCCTTTAGTGTTGTAGAGGGTGAAAGATTTAGAGAAACTTGTTCATGAGTTGCAACCAAAATTTGGTGTTCCTAGTAGAATGACTGTTGCTAGAGATGTTTATTGGTTGTTTTACGATGAGAGGATTAACAACTGATTGTTGGACATCTTCCAAGCAAGTGATACTGGTTCAAGACTGGATTTTGAAGATGTTGTGTATTTCGTCCTAGACGTTGAATCGGCATTTTTGAATGGGTTCTTAAACGAGGAAGTTTACATTGATCAGCCGCCAGGTTAAATCAAGGAAGGAGAAGAATAAAATGTTTACAAGTTAAGGAAGGCCCTATTTAGGTTAAAGCAAGCATCCCGTGCCTGTTAAGGAAGGCCCTATATGGGGGGCTCACTGTTCCCGTGCTTGATTAACAATAAATTACGACCACGGTCACGGGCCAGGTCGCGGTGATCACGATTTCCCCTGATTTCGTCCTTTTTCTTGTGTTCTCTCACATAGTTTCTTACCAAAACTTTCTACTACATAAATAACATATAAAGAGGGTTATTTAAGTGCCAAACTGAACATTTATCTCAAAATAACAGCATTCCAAAACTTGGGTGTTAGGTGCTGAATGATTAAATGGTCATAATGGTTAAGAGGCTCTCATGATATAGTGCAAAATGAAATATAATTGTTTGGTAATTGTTTACAATGAAATTAGGGCTCTTAATGGTTAAGGGAGATCCACGATACAAAATCATTCAGAAGGTTTAGAACCATTAAGAGGCAGACTATTTTTTTGCCAAACAAGATTCACCTCTTAACAATTCAAAGGTTGCCTTGGAACTACTAGAGTTTACTTCAACCTCTCATATGTTCAGGGCCATGTGCTTATTAAGGACATCTAAAGTGTAGTATGTGAGAATAAACACAAATCTACCAAATAAGATCTGAAAGTTAAAACACTGAATTGAATCATAATATTACATCAGAAGGGAGTATGAGAAGTACCTTAAACAAATTTCTCAACCAAATCAAACCTGGAAAGAAACTTTTTATGATTACAATCCAACATTTCACTCAAACTGCAAGAAATGTTCCTCTGTTTCAAAAGCTTTTCCCGCTTCTCTAGCCGCTTTTTCAAACCGTGCTGAAAAAACTCAGGATAAGCCGCAGCTTCCTCAATTCGTCGATCCATTACCTCTACCAAAAACCTAATCCTTGGTTCTAATGAGTTCTTAACACTCTTGATCAAAATAGGCGGATAACGGGCCACTAAAGTTGCTATCTGCTGAGAATCAAACCCACGAGTTTTGAGGTAATCCAGATTCGGTCTCAAAATCCTGTCGACATCTCGACACAAGACTTCCGGGAAGTTAACTGCTACTTTTTGAAGATCCGGTTTCGTTATACCTAAAGAAAGCAAGAACTCAGTGGTGGGTCGTAATCTTTTTTCAACGTTGTAACCCATTATGGATGGGTTCTTAACCAAGATTTTACCAATCATCCCTTCTTTGGTCAAACCGATACTAGCAAGAAAGTCAACTACTCCAGAAAGCTTTGTGTCGATGCTGTAACTGATGATTCGTGGGTTATGGAGAATCATCTTACCAAGTTGAGTTCCGGAGACACCGAGTGACTCGAAGAAACCCAGAAGGGGACAAAGCTTTTCTTCCACACTGTGGGTTAAGATATGAGGGAATTTGGTTATGGCAGAAGCAACTTCATCTGGTTTTGTTCCTAGAGTTGCTAGACATTGGACCATGGGGACGAGCTTTTCGTTTAAATCAAGAGTCATGATTCTAGGGCATTTTGTGACGATGGAAGGAAGCTTTCTTTCATGGATGCCGATGCTTTTCAAGTAATCCCAGTTTGCAGACAAGTTTTCTTTTTGGACACATTCGAGTCGCTTGCACTTTCTGAAGATTTCGTTAATACCTTTCTCGTCGAAGCCTTTGTGCTTGAAGAACCACAAAATGCTGTTGTTGTGGCTGTTACTGATGTCCATATGCCCTGAAAAATGTGGGAAAATAAACACAAGTTTGTTCGTAGATCGAACTCTGAAGAAAAAGACCCCAGAGAAGTTTACTAAGGCCTACAAATAAATAGAGGCGGACCAAGTCCGTCGGGATGAAACAGAGGCGGACCTAGAATTTTTTTCAAGTGGTGGCACCATTTGATTATAAAGAACGAAATTATGGATATTTGTTACAAAATCATCATTGGTCTGTTGGTTAGTTCCTTGCTTCTTGTATGTGAGGTCCTGTATTCGAGTCTTTTATCCCAAAAATCAGAAACATGATAAACCTGAAACTAAAAGCTAAAAACTAAAAAAGTTATACAAATGGGATCTGGACCCGCACCTAGAAGGGGAGAAAAGAACGTGCAAACCAACTCTACCAAGAGAAACTTGTGTTATTGTTGTAGTTTCAAGGATTATACAGCTGCACATAACAAAATAATACAGTGGCACCTTTCACGACCCTGGAAAATTTTACACTACGGCGGAGGAACGAAGGGGTGGCTCGTGCCACCGTATGCACCATAGTGGGTCCGCCCCTGGTCCGATGAAACCTTGTCGTTCATATATTAATGCACCCTCCATAGTTCACCAGAAAATACACATAGGTAGGATTCAAAGTCAAGACATAATCAAGAAATTAACTAAAGTGAATTCTAGGTTAGACTAGGGGTGTGTAGTCATTCCTAGGTTACATTTTCGTGTACTTGTTTCTGTTTGTATGTTTTCTTTGCTTGGATGTTAGTTTTTTGGTTGCTTACCTCTATCAAGTGTTTAAAGATGCATCACAGCTTTTCTTGTTCCAAGTTTTGCTCATTCGAATGCTCTTTTAGGTTCTTTTTCCGCTTTTTCCGCACACTATGCACAAACCAGGGGTCTTCACGAAAACAACCACTCTACTCTTGAGGGTGGACGTCAGATATGCGTACATCTCACCCTCCTAGACCCCACCTTTGGGTGATATCTGGGCTTCTTGGTTTGGTATTTTAGAAAAGATTAATCTCTTCATTACCATTCAAATGCAGCAAATTAGTGTACAAAGAATGGCAGAGAAAACAAAACGACGGCTTTTTTAAGCAAAAGAGCCTCAAAAAAAGATAAGCAACACGCTTCTTCAGAAGTATTAAAAAGATACAGTCCTTTTTTTTTAATTACACAAAAGCATACCTAAAACAAAGAACGAAAAAGCATGAAAAGCTCTTGAAAACACATTCCAATAATCAAACCAGTTTTATGATATCTTGCATAGAATTCATTCACACCAGGTTTTTAACATCCAGCAGATGAAGAATGGAAGCATCAAAAGCACAAAAACCTAAAAAATCCAATCAGTTGAAGAACAATAAAATTAAGATTAAATGTTAAGGATAGAAATTAAAATCTTACTTGATGAGGAACTGAAGAACTGTCAGCTGAAGAGAAGGTGAACTGTTTTGCTGGAGAGAAGATATCAGAAGGATGGATAATTTTGTAAAGGTGAGGCACACAATGGGTAAAGAGGAGTAGTAGGTGAGTGAATTACATTATCTCTCAATCCTTAGGGCTGGGTTTTTCTTTTTACCAAACAAACCTTATTCTTATTCATTCAGATGTGGGTTCCCATTCAGCCAATCATTAAGTTCTAGACAAACACCTTAGATGTTGTTAATACCCTGAAAAAATATTGACGTTTTATGGTTTAAAAAGTAAAATTTACACACTCACAGACCCATGTCTCCTAATTCCTAAAAGACTTGAACTCAACCACAAGGGTGGTGCCTGATTGGTTTGAAGTTGGCTCCAAAGGTCAAAAGTACAAGGAGGTCCCAGGTTCAAATCCAAGGAAAAACAAAAATCCCCTTGTGGCCGCGGAGGTTCAAATGCGGTGACTCTGGGCTATCTGCAAAGCAGGTGGTTGCCCTGGGATTAGTCGGCTCGCATAACGGGTTGGATATCTAGGTTAATCAAAAAAAAAAACTTGAACTCCCAATCTAAGGATTGTAGAGAACCACAAGGGTGGTGCCGGATTGGTTTGAGCTTAGGTACCAAAGGTCAAAAGTGTCTAGAGATCCCAGATTCAAATCCAAGGAGTAGGGGTGTTCAAAAAAACCGTTGGACCGCTCAAACCGGCCGAACCAAGTCAAACCGGACCGTTTTTGGCGGTTTGAGCTTTCTGGCGGTCCGGTCCGGTCTGGTTTGGAAAATAGCAAAACCGGGCGGTCCGGTCCGGTC